TAGAGCTTCTTATATTTCAAAGTCAAGCGAGTTTTAATGGTTTATACTTTTTGAGCCATTTGATGTTCTGTTTTACTTTTAGGGGTCTGTTTGCTTTGTGATTTTTGATATGTTACCACGCGGTGCAGTTCCCTGTATAATACCCAAATTGAGAATAACATAAATAAGACTTACAAAACCCGCTAAATCATACAATATTAGTTATTGGTTTTGTAAAGGCGCTATGCACTATATAAACTGAGACATAAATGACATCACATCGATTCACGAGTTGGGGCTGTTTCACTGGCAGTTTCGCCATCATTGTTCGAAGTTCGGCATAGTAAACATCTGCTGTTATTGCCTGACCAGACCTGACAAAGCTATAGTGAATAACACCATGAAGGGACCACCAAACAGTTACCATTACCTTTGTATTGGTAAGCTTTGCTTTGCTTTTAACAGTGCCCAGTTGCGACGTTTGACCTGGGGTCAGCCATTGCATTTTTCGCCTACGGTTATCGTAAAACATCCACTTTTCGTCACATGGCGTCGTCACAATTCGATCCAATATTCCTTCATTTCTGTGCCTATTTGACAAGGCAACACAAGTTTGAACACGCTTTTCTTTCTGCAGATCAGTCAAATCATGAGGCACCCATTTTTCATATTTATTCATCTTATTGATTTGATGCAAATGAGTCAACATTAAGGTGGAGTGACGATTTGCGGAAGATGACTGGCAGGAGCTGGATGTGAGTAGCCCAAAGTCGATCTAAGTGGCGTGCAATGGGAGAGGCCTATGACCAGCAGTGGACTTCGATAGCCTGATAATGATGAGTCAATATTGACTTGGATCAGCCTCAACCATCTTCTTTAATTCAGCGTTAATCATCTGTGTGGGTCTTCCACGTGGTTCGTTCTTCAATTCGAAGTTTCCATTACGAAAGTTTTCAAACCAAACTTGCACGGTACGTTCATTAGCAGTCCCTTCTCCACGTTAGTTCCGTATTAAAAAATTACTTATTATTAAGCATCACGTGAAAAAAGTTTCACACGAAAATCTCACATCATTAAGGTTTTATATCAATTCAAAGTATCTATTGCTATACAACGGTAATTTCATACTTTAACCCCTATTATTAATACCATTAATACAATAATGTATGTATTAAAATTATATTTTACTACTTAGCTATATTTTGAAACCAGAATTGCAAATCCTGATTGAAAATCATACTTAGCGTTATTGATTAAAAAATAATTGAAATTAATAATAAACATTAAAAATTATACATTTGTAAAAGTCTGGTGTTGAATAAATAAATAAATCATGTGTGTTGTTCGTTAAAACGGGGACACTTAACCTTTCATAACACTACTTTACTGGTACCTATTCGTATCGCACTTCGCAATTTATTGTTTTTTGTAGATTAGTATTTATTTACTTGTTTTATGAATATAGTACTAAAAAGGTACTAATATTGCAGGAAGTATAAAATAAATAAATAAAAACTGAATTGACTGAAGAAGAACGATAGTATGTATTAACGGCTCGAAATACGTATTGTTGTAGGATACTTGAGTGTACTTTTAAATCCCAATTTTATACCAAAAAAATTTGTTTAACAAATTATACTGTTAAGGACCGTTATTAAATCTCTCCACACAATATTTTGGTTACTACGCGTTGCCATTTTAAAGTTGAAATGTCTATGGAAGTATTAAGACCTGGGTAGTCTCTATAGTAAGGAATCGGTCAACAGAAAATTATAAATCACATACTTTATTAGGTGTATACCAAAACTAGGTACAGGATGAGATTTGTAGATAAACCCGAATTGTTGACAAATTAACATTTATGAATATGCTGAAATTGACTTATAGGAAATACATAATTCCGAATGTAGTGGTTAGATTTAAGTATTTATTGATTACTTCATGATAGGTTAGACTATTCGATGAAATAGTAGAATAATAGTATATGGTATACGAGTATACTGGATGAGAAGTAATAAGTAATCTTGGTATGGACATGTCATGTGGAGGGATGAGGAAAATGTGGCCCACAAATTGTTAGGTATGGAGTTGAAGGTTACAAGAGAAGAGAAAGGCCTAAGAAAAGTTGGATGGACTGTGTGAGTAAGGACATGGCTACGAGTAGGATCGGTAACTTGAAACTGAATGAAAAGAAAGCTTCTTAGTCAATAAAATTAAGCGATGTTGTTGTCGTGTCGTCTGTTAGCCTTTTATGTATTTTAGTATTTTGCGGGTTAATCAAAACGTGTTTGAGAATTCGTCAATATGAAGTATACGTTGACGTAGAACCAATTAATTTGGTGGTGGTAAAAAATGTTCATAGTGCAAGCGACGACGACGACCGAATGGCGTAGTGGTTTGTGTAACGGACTTCTATTCCAAAGGTCACGGGTTCGATAACCGCTAAAGTCAAACATTTGTGTGCATGAACATTTAATGTTTGATTTGGTCTGGGTGTTTCTATGTATAATATGTATGTATTTACAACAAAAAAAAGTATATATGTATTGATATCAGTTGTCTAGTACCCATAGTACAAGCTCTGCTTAGTTTGGGACTAGATGGCGTTGTGTGAATGTGGTAGAATATTATATATTATTATATTATATTATTAAGCTTTCATATGACAAGTAAAAGGAAAAATCCAAGTCGTTATATGCTTATCTCCCTTTTTAAACACTTTTAAGGTTAATTGCAGATTTAGAGGAGTCGTCATACGAAATCTTCAAAAATTCTAATGGTCTTTCGAAGTGATACAACCATCCAGTAGGTTTTTTAAACCTTAGAGTAGTAGTAGAGTAATTCAGCTTTCAATGAAGAAGGTACTTTGCTGTTTCATATTTATGTAAATTTTTTTTTTGTAAGCAACACCACATGGCATTTGATAATGTTTAGCCAGATATTGGGCAGAAGGAAATCCGTTATCCGACGGAGGTGTTCAGAGGTGTCTTTAGATTTAGTATATAGCATTGTCCTTACTGTCATGTATCTACTTAATTGTATTTTCAGGAAGCCTTTTTTTAATATGCTCTATTTATGTTTAAATATATAAGTAATGAAATTATATCAAAATTAAATGTTGTGGTATTAGTATTTTTGTTTGAGTCTATAAACTTTTTTTTTGTTTCTTCCGTGTGATTGAAATACTCTTATACATTGTCAGTATAATTAAACTTCAGATTTCGCTCACCTTGAATCTGGCACTATACTCACTATGCAAGTCATTACATTCACTTACATATAAAAATACCGAGTTACAAATACAGTTAATGCTGAGAACAAAACTACATATAAGCATATAAACATAGACTTAATAGAAGCTCGGGGCCCCAACGAATAAATGATGGAGCACAATCATGACAATAACAGGGACATTGTAATAAAAGGGAAGATTTATTGACGTGTCATAATAATAGGGGTCTTTATCGAAAAGATTGTGTCGTATTCAAAAACTGTATTCTACAATTGTAGGTAGGTATACTGTTTGTTCCTTATATTCCATTACAACAGTTACAGGAATTTCTTGTAAATATGGTTAGAGGATAATAAAGTCCACTTATTAAACTGTTTTCAGAAAATATCAAAGGGTACAAAACATTTTTTTCGTATACATTTACTGTATTTAGGTGCTATTTGTCCGAAATTTCCCTTCATAGAGCATAAAAATTTCCGTCCTTTATTTATTCATGGTGATATCATAATTTTGTTTACAGGCTTATTTCCACATAAATTAAATAATGCAGATGTTTGTATAAATTTTAGATCACAATAAATTCAAAGCATGAAATAAGCATAAAAATTATTTTTTTCTTTGGGAAGGCGACATCAGTTCCTTCCGTTTCTTCCAACAACAGTTCCAAAATATTTTCTCTAAAATATCATAATGACATCGAATATTTTTGTATTCACTACATCTAAAATGTATTAACTTTATATAATATTTTTCTCCTCTAACGTCTCATGATTTGTAATATTTTTTGCAAAGCAGAACCGGGATCGTTAAATTTTATGATTGGTTAACTAAGTTCATGTTTATTTAAAAATTTCTGTATTTGGATTTATCTTTAACATTTAGGTTTCGTAAATAAACTTATCAAATCGCTTTAACCGTGGATTTGCCAAATGTTAGGTATTTACACTATTTACTTGATTATCAGATAGTATCAATATAGCTATTGATAGTGGTGTATATTTATAACATCACAAGCTTGTCACGTACACACTTCTGTCGATTATCTATTAATGTTAAAAGTATAACTGAAATGTATTTAGGCTCTCAAACTTAATTTACTTGGTTATGCTGCCTAATCCACTATTGCAACTGCCACGCAGTGGCAAATTTACTATTAGTGATAACGTTTTAATCTAATTTTAAAATGGAGTAGAAAATACTTATTCACTTATTTTCAAAAAAAAAGTGTAAAATTACAGCTTTATTGTTTTTTTTTCTACCTAAAATCCTTTTGTTAAATAAAGTAAAAATAAATAAATTATGTACATCATATATACCCTAAATACAATAAAATTAAAATGAGATTTTCACGTTCAATTCTTACTTTGTATTCAGCATAATATTCAACAAACAAAATTGTGAAAGTTTTCACCGAATCTACCTTCTTGCCGAGCTCACGCTCGAGTCATTATAACACTTTTATGTGTGTACATACTTCAGGCTAACCTGGGCCGTGTTATAATTTTTATAATATAAGCTGATTAATGATAAATGTAGGTACCGTGTCGCAAAACCAACCGAAACACTCGTTGGTAATAATTAAAACCAACGCTAAAGGTTAGGCACACATTTAGCACTACAGAGTTTAGCATATTGGCCCACTATCGACATTGAATCATATCGTTTTTCTGGTATAGTTGTATTCTTTTAATATCGTCTAGAATACCAGAGATACTTGTTATACTTAAATAGTTATGACAGAACTAGACTGTCTAAGTATTCTTAATCTGTGATTTTGATTCTATTTTAGGTGTCCTGGGAGATGTAAAAGACGAGTTTAAAATCGGCGACGACCTCGCCGGCTTACTACAGACAGTTTTTATCGTAGCCTACATGGTATTTGCCCCACTGTTCGGATACCTCGGCGACAGATACTCGAGGCGCATTATCATGGCCTTTGGAGTTGCTTTATGGAGTATGACCACTTTAGCAGGCTCCTTTGCAGCCGTAAGTTATTCTACTTAAGCTTTAGTAATTTTACAATATACAATTAAGACTATTTTGTTACAGTGACAATTGGGATGACCTAGGGCGGGCTTGGGTAGGGGTGAAATATTGAAAAGTTGGACTTCTGCCATGGACGTTTCAAAAAATACCAGCAATACGATCCAAAAATATTACAATAAATTTATTATTGCTGAGTATGATGAAATAAGATTCGGCGGTTGCTTTCATGTCTGTGTTGATATAAATTGTTAATTTCTGTTATTTTATTTGTTTAATACATATTAATAATACTCAATGGCGTTTGAGGTGTCGTTAGATTCTTCTTAGTTGTGTCACAATTATGTTTTAAAAAGTTTTTTCTTTAAAATTTTTCAAGTGGGGTAAAAATAATAATAAATTTTAATAACCTTTTATTACCATCATGAGTGTCCTACAAAAATATATAAATAACTTATATATTGAAATGTAACTTGGAAACGAAAAATGCTGAAAAAGATATTATATATATATATATATATATATATATATATATATATATATATATAATATTATATTTATACCTTTTTTATCAATTTTCGTTCCAAGTTTGCCTGTACACAAGTATACGATTTTCACGAAGTTGGGTTTTTGTTATTCGTCCGTCAAAATGATTAATGAGCAGGGACAACTGCTAGGCAAAACGAATGTTTGCATTATGCTGTTTCTTAACCTATAAACATCGATTTCATGCGATTTCTCAAATTGCCTTCAAAAGTCTTATTTAAAGAACTTAAATTTGCCAGCAGGTGCTCTTGACGCAACAAGCTCTCAAAGTTATCAACTTCCTTTTTATGTTATATTCCTTGCCACGTTTTGAAATTATTTTTTGAATTGAAATTGAATGAAATCAATTCATTGAAAAATCTTTATAAAATACGGTTTACATTTTACAGTTTGAAGAATATTTATCTTTGTTCTAGGACTATACCCTGTTCGCTGTTTTCCGCGGTATGGTGGGCATTGGGGAAGCGTCTTACTCGACAATTGCACCAACAATTATCAGCGATTTGTTTGTCGGCAATGTGCGATCTAAGATGTTAGCTGTATTCTACTTTGCCATACCCGTTGGCAGGTAATTTTTACAAGCTTTTAGCATTATTTAGTCATTATTTAGCTTGTAATTTTTCGGTGTATGTGTGTGTGTGCCACGAATCTTGGCAGCTAAATAAATTAGAATCATTTCCAGATGTCCGATTGGCATCAAATTTGGTATACATATGTGTCTCGGGTTCGATTCCCGGATCAGACCAAATGTTTGTATGATCTGCAAATATTTGTTTCGGAGTTTGGGTGTTTTCTATGTAAATTTGTATGTATTTACAAAAAAAAAGTTTATAAGTATTCTATCAGTCAATCTAGGTTACACAGTACAAGCTCTGCTTAGTTTGAAACTAGATGGTGTCACATCTAATTTAATAATCAGTAAATTTAATATAAAATAATATCCAATAAAACTAATTTCATATCAGTTATTCATTTTTGTATCTTATTGTATCTTAGTTTTAGTCTCTATATCAACTTGATATAGTGTTTCTTGACTAAATACACCTTTTTATTTTTGATTTGAGGAAGTTATAACCCGAAATCTTGCACTTTATTTTTATTACAGCGGCCTTGGATACATAGTCGGGTCTGTAGCCGGTGCTGCAGCAGGAGATTGGCGGTATGGTTTGCGAATAACGCCTATTCTGGGTGTAATCGCCGTTGTACTTATCATATGGGTCTTGCAAGACCCTCCTCGGGGAATGGCCGAACATAGCCATATGCAGCCAACGTCATACAAGCAAGATATACGATCCCTCCTTAGGAAGTAAGTATAAGAAACGTTACATTAAGTTTACAAAATTCTTCGCAGTGATTGTCAATAAATATTTAGCAGTGACCATTATCTTTCGAGTAGCTTCATAATTCCAACAGTGCAGATCGTCTGCAGTTTATCGTCGAAAGACAAGGCGAAGTAATTTTCGATCGGTTAATTTTTTATCATCAAAAGAGTTTTGCAGATACTAAATCAACACCATTATAGTCAGACGATGCAAGGCCCGGACTAAACGGTCCATGCATCGTAACTTCCCAATCAAGTGCCGAGTTATTATAAATATGTCTGTTCAATTTGTTCCGAGTCGCTTTTTTCATTTACACGGTCGAGGCACAAGTCAGAACCGAAGCGACGGTTTCGCCATGTTGCGGTAGCTCATGATGAAGATTTCTCTGCGAATCTCACTGAACAACTCAATATAACCTGGTTTGCTTACAATCCCAGTTTTGAAGTCGTGAATTTCTTGGTCTGATATGCGTTTGCCTTTGATATTCTTGTGTCTCGCTTTACCAAAATATTTTAACAGCTTTTCAATAGAATGTCACTGATGCTGATTCCCTCAAACAAATTTGTTTGTTTTAATTTATATGGTACCTACTCAAACACGAATTCTTTGTGAAGCCTGCTCTTTCCAATTGATTCAACGACAGCGAGGAGCATATTTGACATTAGAATTTCTGGAACGCAATCGGAGAAACTACTTCGTGCTTCTCGTTCACACAAGTTTCTCATTATACACTACAAATTCCATTTTTGTAGTGAAATTGCTTCACATATTTCAATAATTTTAAATCAGTTTTGCTTTTTACGCGAGCAACAAATTCAACAAATTCGAAAATGAATGCGCCTTTAAAGCACATTTTTGGTTCAGTAGATCTTAGAGCGGTTACGCACTACTTAGGGCATACTCAGAGTTTCTGGATTCTGATAAATAAGACGATACAATTATTGTTTTTCAAAGTATTCCCTCACAATTATTGCATTCGCTGAAACCACTGTTCAAAGCAGTTGGACCAGTCTTCCTTAGGGACCTTTTCAAAGGCTTCATGGAACGAGATGATCACGTTCACGTTTAAATTCTCCTAACCACGAATACAAAGACCTGCGACATGATGCAGCAGAATCACCAAATATCAATTGAAGTTTCTGGCAACTCTCTTGTTGACTTAAGCCACAACGAAAATCATAAAAAATAATTGAACGAAAATGTTAACTAGTTAAATTCATTTTGATAGCGACACACAATTTTCAAAAGGACGTCACAATAAGAAAATTAATGACAGTCTCGCAAATTAAAAAGTAACATGTTCCCAAAGAGTTCCATTTTCGAATTTCATAATTGTTTTTTCATTATTTTATTAAATTTGTGTAAATAACTGCTCTTAGTACAGTGGCTTATTATAATGGAAATTTAGATTTGAAAATAAATATTACACTATAATGCGCATCTTTCTTCATCAAAACTTTTTATCTTTTTGCAGGCTATAGGTGTTAATCATGCACGCATTTATATCTTTTCTGTAAAATTGTTACAGCCCATCATTCGTACTGACGACGATTGCATTTACTTGCGTTGCCTTTGTGGCAGGCGCTTTGGCCTGGTGGGGACCGCAATTCATCTACGTAGGATTGTCTATGCAACCGGACTCAAATATAACCATTGAAAGGTATATTCTTGTTCAACCTTTTTGAAAAATTGAGCTGATAATCTAGCTCTTGCAAATGAAAATAATCTACTGAGTTATTAAGAAAAATATTAACGACATAGTAAATGCCAGTATTAAAGTTAGCTAATTACGTTTTGTAATAAAATAGCTAAGTAAGCAGTATTTAATCTGTATGAAAAGAATAGAAAAATCTTGGTAACCTTCGATAGCTGGTCAACAGTGGCGGGTTTTGCAGTAATGTATTTAACTGCAAAACCCGCGACTGTTGTCATTAGTATAGTATACTGTTAAGTGAATTGATTTTTGAATTTGTAGATACGGACACCGCAGATAATATTTTTAAATTTTCACTAGCGACATTTTTAATTAGTTTTTTTTATTTGTCTATGTAGATTGTACTAAATGTCGCAATGGTATGTGTTATAATTAGACTTGCAACGAATAGTATATTCGGCAGTATACCGAATACCGAATATTCGGCGAGGCCCCTGACCGAATAGCCGAATATTAGGCAAAAGTATTCGGCTGGATTTTAGCGCCAAAAACTTGTACAGACGTGAATTAAATTATGTACCTGTTTTATGTACCAATGACTACTTAATAAATGATTATAAAAGAAATGAGAACCTTACCCTTCTAAATTTTGATTACCACAATAATTCAAATACATAGAATCCTCCATTTTTCCAATTCAGAAGATGATTATGTACCTGTGTTATGCACCAATGACTACTTAAATGATTATAACAGAAATGAAAATATGAATATATACGTAATCAATCGATTTTAATTTTTCATTTTACCAATTATTTCTCAATGACAAAATATATTATTTAAGTATTCGGTATTCCGCCGAATAATATGTAGATATTCGGTATTCGGCCGAATATAATAAAAGCAGCCGAATAGGCCGAATACCGAATAGTAACCGAATATTCGTTGCAAGTCTAGTTATAATAGGTGTATTATAGTTGGGTAATATCCGTTAAGCGATCGACAAGTTAATTCCGACATGCGATATGTAATAGGAACAACGAATTGAAGATTACTTACATGACGTGGCCACGTCATCTAACAAACCATTTTTTTTCCTGTGTGTGGAAACCCACGGGCCGTCACGTTAGCGGCGAGGTGGTGTGTCGGAATCGGTTTGACTAAAACCGCACGGTGTTCCACTCCGTGCCTTTAATAGGTGGGATTGGAAACTGCTGTTATTAAAGCATGCCTCCTCCTGGCGCGTGCCCGCAATGGCGCGGGCACCACCTTCGGGTATATTCTCTATTTAGGCGACACGACATCCGGCACACGCGGACGTCGCCTCCTCGCGACTTATCGTAATGCCGGGTGAAGGGGAAAACTCGTCCCTGTCCACCCGCTTAGTCCCGGCGAGTTAGATTCGAGTGGAGATTATCCTCCTGGGCCCTCTCCACCTAAGAAGGTGCAGCATGTCGCGTAGGACAGCCCGCTGTTAGCGGCCTCTGGTGATACAGTGACCACCACAGACGCGGTTTTACGCAGGCGCATTCTGACACCTAGGAAGCGGAGTCGGCGCTGACGCGACTTTGTGCCTATCTGCTGCGAGCGGAGGCCGAACAACAGGGGCCAGTGGCAGCCTCGCCTCCAGGCTGGTGAGACGCCCGTGCATCATACGCCACACTGCGCCAGTAACTTGGCGCAGAGATATCACCGATATTGGGAGTAAGGGCAAGCTGCGACGATCCGCCCGTAATTGGGCGAACTGAGCGCTGAGCTCAGCCATCTTGCCCGTCAGGCGGTCGTTGGCCGCCTGGAGACGAGGCACGTCCCAATAATTTCTACGACCCCAGCAACAGTGGATGAGGAGTCCTTGAGGTCAGGTAACCTTCGATAGCTGGTCTACTTGGTGGCCATCTTTTGGATGACAGCCACCGCCGCTTTCGCTCTCTCCTGTATGGATAATGGTGTTTGGGGGATAGAACCCCCTACCATCGCCTCCTAAAATTTCAACAACGAGATCTGCAATCTCCTCCACACTTGTGTTGTCACTTTGAGTTGAGTTACTGGTGTCCATGGGCGGCGGTAGTCATTTACTATCATGTGACCCGTCTGCTCCCTATACAGAAAAAACTTTCAAATCCTGTTTTTTTTTACGTGTGGAAACCCCCTCGGGCCGTCACCCCACCGGGGTTTGCGGCGGGGTGGTGTGTCGGAATCGGACCGACTAAAACGACACGGTGTGCCACTCTGCGCCTGTAATGGGAGGGATCCGGGAACTGCTGTTATTAAGACATCGGGACCGCTTCGGGTACATTCTCTATTTAGGCGACGTCCGTCACACGCGGACGTAGCCTCCTCGCGGCTTGGCGTTCCAATGTGTGTTCCGTTTCGCCACTCCAATGTGTTATTTAAACGAAGTTACAAGGTGCAAATATATATCCTTAGTTGATTTGTTATTAATAAAGTATCCGGTTTAACTTTTATTTACCTACATCGGTATTTAAGTAATTACGAGTATTTTATTACTTCTTAGTATTTACAAATGAGGTTTGTTTATATCTTTAAGCAAAAACCTTAAATGCATTTCTTTTAATCTAATTTATACATACCTAATTAATATATATATCTGTAAATAATTTTCAGTTTAAAAAGATTTGCACTTTTTAAATTAAAAATTAAACTCAAGGAGAATAATACATTAAGTTAAAGTTTGAAAATGTTACATAATAAATTAAAATTTAAAACTCAAGAAAGACAGTCGGTGGTATTTTTACAAAGACAATTCGCAGACAAAATATTGCTTACTTAGCTCGTCGGCTAGTGGTTTTCGTCGTCGAAAATTAACTGCAAAGTCGAATTATCATTTTATATTAAATTAACTTTGAAAACAGCAATAAAAAACGCATATAGAGACGAGACAGCCAAAACCACTTTTCTATTACATGTAGTGTAAGATAGGTTAGAAAGATATAAAACAATGTCATGTGGTGGTGGTGCAGCGTCTCGTACAAGTTCGGGCTGTTGGGCATGTTCGCGGGCTCGCTGGGCGTGCCGCTGGGCGCGGCGATCTCGCAGCGCCTGCGCGAGCGAGTTCCGGACAGCGACCCGCTCATCTGCGGGTTCGCGCTGCTCGCCTCCGCCCCGCTTGTCTACTTCGCGCTCATCTCCGTCTCTTCCTACGTTGGCCTCACATACTTTTTTATGTTTGTCGGCATGACCACTCTCAACCTCACCTGGTCGATTGTTGCCGATATTGTATTGGTGAGCGTTTTCTGCCTTTACTTGACTCCTGAAACTTTTTTATGTTTACCTTCGAGGCTTCAGGGGTTCTTACGCTCGGGAACACGAACGGGCAATAAATGCAGAAATCGATCACCGGCTCGAATTGACCCTCGAGAGCATATTCCAATGAGATGACGCGATTCCGCAATACTTTAACGCCAAAATTTCATGACAACGCTATTATAGAGAATGCTATTTTATTGTGCACACATTAGGTGCTTCAGTCATGTTCCGATACATTAAGTGATTATTATGATATTTTTATATGGACCCTATTCACCTATTTATAAGTTAAATAAACAAGCATGAATTACGAATCGAAATCATCATGGCTGCCTTTTTTAACGTATATATAAAATTTATATATGTTTATATATTTTTAGCATGACCAATATATTTTATATTATTGTCATTGTTATACTGCCCAGTAAAAGATAAAAATGTTCTGATTTATTGGCATCGTCTCCAATCAAAAGAACTCTTTACTGTCGTTAAGAATGTAATCGTATGTTATTACGAAATAAAAGAAGGCATTTTTATACTTTTACTGCACGTAAATCAATGTTTTAAATAATGATTTTGTTTACCGATAAGAACGGCGTAACATAGTATGGCGCGCTTGTAATACCGTCGATCCGCGTATAAGCGCATGTGCTGACCGTACCGATACTTTGCACGAAGGGTGTCGCTAATCTTCGGCGGGATCACGATGGTGTCGGGGCTGCTGGGCGTGGCGCTGGGCTCGACGCTGGGCACGATGCTGGTGAAGTCGTTCCCGCGCGCGCACCCCATCATCTGCGGCGTGGGGCTGCTCGTGTCGGCGCCCGCGCTCGCGCTCGCCATCACGCTAGTGCGGGACTATTTCTACCCCACCTTCATCCTTATATTTATTGCCGAAACCGCTTTGAATCTCAACTGGGCAATAGTAGCCGATATGTCGATGGTAAGAGATCCCCTCTACGGAGGCGTTCATGTCACCCTTTCGGTTCTGTATGCTTTACAAAGTCGAAAGTGTGCAGGCGCTGTTCGTTGGAGTATTTTTTCCTTAGTAGCGTTTTGTGATTTGTGTTGGATTTTTGTTTTTAAGTATTTTTTGTAGGGTAATACTCGTAGTTTTTTTGCATGTAGCATGTCTGTCATGAAACTGAAACTAATATATTTTTTATTTGTAATGTTATTGCTTTGTATATGATGCTTAATTATATTCAGTCACTCATTAGCACATATTGACGGTTCACCATTGCCTAGTTGTGATTATAATTACTTGCGGAACTTGCGTATCTCATTGGAATATTTTTCGCAATATTCGAGTATGGTGGACCGATTTCAATTTGTGTAAAGGCGCCATCTATTGGTTTTACTGTATAACGCGTTAGATATCTGTTCTTAAGCGATGCACTGTAATACTTAATTGACAGGAATTGCTATAGATGGCGCTAATAAAAATATTACATGCCAATAAGTATAGTTTTCGAAATATCGGTTAGTTAATGCACACAAATAAACTTATATATAAAATATATTATTTAAATATTTGATGTTATTGTAAGATTAGTACTTAATCTAATTACGATTATTACTACATTAAATGATACTAAACAAGTAACTACGTTAAAGGGGTTTCAGCGTAGGGACTTTCTCTTTTAAATTTGCTGCCTTTGGCGAAAACACTGGTGGCTGAAATGTGTGAAATAACTCCCACTTTAATACATATCTACAAGAAAGTTCCATTCAATATCTGATTCCTCATATACCTATGTAATAATAATAATAGCTTCATACATCTGACACACGACCGTCTGGCTCCAAACTGGACAGAGCCTGTGCTATGGTAACCAGACTGCTGATAAACATACTTATATATTTTTAAATACATACATATCATAGATAAAATACACCCAGACACAAAACCTTAGCAGTCAGGCACTAATATAATCACTAGCCCAACAGGCCACATGTAATTTGAATCACAATGATGAAACTAAGAAACCTAAGAACTTTATAGTAAGACATCTTTTTTTGATCTGCAGCTGTTGACAAACGGTGCAGTCTTGTTTTTAACACGCTTTTATTAGCTTGGTATGTATGTATGTAACGGAATATTTAAAAGTGATTTTGAACCACTTCAAACGTAGAATTGACTTAGAAACTTCTCACACTTTTCAAGGACCGATGACAATACAATAATTTGATAAATTTGGTCGAATATACTGATCAGATCTTGTTACTTTTTTAGTTTTAACGGGAAAATAATCGTCATTAGTGACTAAAAAAAAGCAAAAATAATTAAAAAGTAGAAAATAGTTTTCTACAAGTTCAAAAAGAAAAATCATTTTATAGTATAAAAGCGTGGGGTGTTTTTCAAGATATTTTATAATATAACTTAAACCAATATCTGTCAATACAATATTTTTATAACAATTAAGACCTAGCACCCAACGTTTTTTTACGATAAAATGGTTGTTTTAAACTTATAGAAAATTATTTTCTACTTTTTAGTTCGGCCAGTTACAAAAGTGTGTTTTTTTGGGTTTTTTTAACTATAGTTTATTTATTTGTCTGATGTTATAAGAAGTTTAATAATAACCTTGGTTTATGTTTGTCTGTGATATTGCTAGCCAAGCGTTTAGTCAACCCATGAAGCCTTCAACTTTCCATTTAAAATACTGTACGTTTGTTTACTTTCTTTAAATTATGATGTGCTAATTGCTTTTTTGATTTTACAGTACGTGGTGATTCCACCACGGCGGTCTACAGCCGAAGCTTTCCAAATTTTAATTTCGCACATGTTTGGAGATGCTGGAAGCCCTTACTTAGTAGGAGTTGTGAGTGTACTTTGTTATTTAATTAATTGAAATATTAAATTTTATTTTTAATACTGCATTGTGAGATTCAAAAACAAGACGTTATCTATATAATGAATAATTAATTATCAACAGCCTTTACTAGTCCACTGCTGGACATAGACCTCTACTTTTTTTTAATGGAAGAGGGGGCAGACGAATAGACGAATTAGGTTTTGGCCCACAATACCACGCTGGCCTAACGCCACCCGTTAGGCCAGCGTGGTATTATAGGTTTTGTTTCAAGTATTCCTTCTCTTTGCAGTGCTTTTGTCCTGCGAAGTTTTTTGCTCCCTTAGACGGTTCTTACGACTCCCAGACTCCAGACGGATGAGTAGGGGGACACTGCATTCATCAATGAATAATAATATTTTATTGTAATAAAACCATTATCATGTTAATTATTTAGATAACTACGAGATCTTGACGGATGTATATTGGGTATATATTATCTGAGAATGATAATAAGACTTGTTTCATACATTTTTATACATATATATAAAAAAAAGTGATGTTTTTGCCTTAAGCTGACGCTCATTTCACTATAAATTTTATACTCTTAGTCACATAAAGTCTACTGAATCAAAGTCTCCACTGTATCAAAATGAATAAATCTTCTACTTTAAACTTTTTTGAGGTCACCTCAAAACATAAATCTTATAAAATAGAAATAAAATTACAAAAACTTTAATGTACACTATTTTTTTCAGATCTCGGAAAATTTAAAGAGAACACTATCACCTAGGCAAGCACCTACCCCTCAAATTGATTTTAGTTCACTGCAGTATGCTTTATTTGTTACCTGTTTTATTGAAGTCATTGGTGGTGTATTCTTTTTGATTGCGGCTTTTTACATAGTCAAGGATAAATTACAAGCGGACAGAGCTATTGCTGGTGAGTAAGAAACATATTTTCATCATCATCAGCCTTTACTACCAGTACCAGTGGACTACCACTGTTGGACAAAGGCCCCTCCTTAGAAAGGAGGTTTTGGCCACGCTGGCCAGACGGGTTGGATAGTGTTTGTTTCAAGTTTTCCTTCTCTTTGCAGTGCTGTTGTCGGACGTAGTTTACTCCCTTAGGCTATCATGACACCTACGGGATGCATAAATGTGGTGACACGGTATTCTAATCCGTCACAACACGGACATATTTTAAATTTTACTAATATCCATTAAATCTGTAAGTAATTATGCAACTTTACTTCAAATTAAAACTAGATATACAACAGGGGCACTTGTAGTTTATACAACTGTAAGGTTTCATTACAGTAATTATATTAAAACTATATTATTCTCACATATATAGCACTGGCTCTGCCTAATTTGGGGTCAGCCAGCCGTGTGTGATATGTGTCAAGTTGTTATTGTTGCATATGAGACCGGTCTCTGCGTGTTGCGCATCGTTTGGAGGCTGAAGATAAAGATTTTCTTTTGTAAGGGAATGCCGGGTTTAGCAACAGTTTTTAGTATTCATTATTACTTTAGATAAACCCTAGTATATACATATATATGTGTTGCATGGTTTTTAATCAAAAATGTAACTAATCCTTCTTGTTTGCCCCTGAAAATTTAACAAATATCTGTTTAAATTATTTACTTGCCAAGTTTATTCATATTTAATTACATAATATATTTTTACTTTTTATAAGCATAGCACAACTAATTAAAACTATAAGTTAAAAATCCAATTAAATATAGTACATCTTATCAGGGCTGGTTCATGGTACACCCTTTTTTTTTTGTCTGTGTGGCATTCCTCTCGGATACCACCCACCCACGGTGGTTATTTCGGACAAGAACCGACCAAAAACCACATGCCGTCTCGGGGACTAGTAGCCGGGGAACCAGGTGTACCCTAGGAAGGAAATCCCTGGAATCCCGACGGATCATGTTATACCCTGCCGAAGGACTTGTCACAACGAGTACATAATACAACATATGTCTGTCTCTAAGGGTCTTGATCGTGCGACCAGGAAATGGTGCCACAAAGATCGGTGGATATTATAGTCCCGTTAGGTTAATTATTATACCGTAGTCTGGTAGTACACTCGGTATAGGTTACAAACTGCCCCTTTTAATTTGATACTAATACCTACATGTATTCTAAACACTGGTGAGCAAAAAAAAGATCTAATACTAGAAGCAAGGAAAATAAAAGTTTAAAAAAAAATTGGCTTGAAGCAATCAATCCCTTGACAAACAAACATTTTGCAAAACTCTCTTACGAAATATTTCTTTGATCGACTTCATTACACATTTACGATCATTGAAAACAAGGTGTATGATAAGTCGGAGTGCCTACTGTTCTTATTATATAACAAATGTTATGTTCTTACAACAAATGTTTAAGCCCGATATTCCGTAAGTTAAAACCTTAATGTTTGTAAAAGATTTTGACAGAATGCGGCACATGATTATTTTCTAATACCCTTAGATTCTTTAATTCCTAATAATTTTGCACTAAGTTTTAAACATGTGCAGTTTCCGGAGCTTTTGTATGCAATGGACTGAGCACTTAAGTACACGGTCGTCTCTTTTCCGAATTAATTTTTCAAACAATTTATGATGCTCATTAGCAAAACTTCTTTTGCGATCGACTGTTTTTAGACGTGGGACATTCTGGAAGTCTCTGGAGCCTGTCAAATGCTCAAAAAAACAATTGAAAATTAAACTCTTTAATATTCCCATAGTTCGATTTTAATTTATCCGTTAATGCGTCCTTTTATTCTGTTAAAGTAACAGAAGCGTATTTCATGACTTCAAATGTATAGCTAGAGAGAGCAGAGTAAAGAAGACAAACACAAAGGCACACTTTTTAAACCGTCGTGGCTTCATTATTGATTGTTTACCAATCCAGTAAAAAAGCGTTTTGACGCAACGTATATCCACCAGTAGTCTTATCTAGATTTTACTGTGTAACCGATCGTTTATTTTTGCTCGCCAGTTAGTTAGCTTCATACTATGTTAGGAATAGATTAGATAATGTTTAGATTTTGCTCATGTTACTGAGACCTTTCCATATTGTTTCAGTTGCTTCAAAAGTTGTGTAGATTTAGGTGAGTTGCTTATGGCGAAATTGAAATAGGGCTTGGTGAATAACAGTAGCTTATTGGGGTACCTAACAATCTCGTTTCTATTTTTATCTTTACTTTTTTTTAATTTTTACAGAGGCAGACGGACACAGTTCAGAGCCATCACACAGTACAGCCCATGAAGATGTCGAGGGAGAATAGTGAGTTAGAAACTCATTGTCGGATCAAATATGATGGAGACATTAAAGTGAAAAAAGAAATGCACTTTGTTCCAGTTATGTAATTACAGATCCCATTTTATTATTACGACATATTAACGGTTAAATTGACAGGCGTAAATTTCATATTATGTATTCTTTCGGGATAACTTAATTTCAGCTTCTTATATAGAAAGAAAGCTAAAATCGGAATCGATTACAAACAAAAGATATTTATTTTGTTAACACACGAGTCGAAAGGGCACGTGTGGAGGAGTCCGTATAATGTTTAGTAAAACCACAAATTTTCTCTACAATTTCTAGCCTGTGTTAAAGTCAAATTAACTACATTTATAAATCTTTATTGTACCTATCTGCAATGCAATTCTAGATTTAAAAGTGATTCAAAGTGGAGTCTATAAGTAGATCTAACTGTTTGCAAAGTAGTTATTTCTTTATGACATACTTATATGTAGCTTATTTGCATAGCCTTGGAAATCTATATCCAATCTAATCTGAAATCTGAAGATTTCAAGTATGATTGATTAAAATGCCTTATATAATTTAAATCTCAAGATTTGCAATTCAAATAGAATTGTTTTCGAGTTACAACACAATTATTTTAGAAGACTGAATCTTAATAAATATGGCTAAAAGGAGGATGGGTTATAATTGAAAATTATTGTAAGTGTTTAGATTTTAGGCATCACAATATCTTCTGGTACATTGAGTATATAGCCTTAGTGCCTCTAAGAACAAAGCTTTCTATAAGTCCAAATGCAGTTCATGTTGTAACAGAACCAATCGAATCAAAGTACATCAATTATTGTATAAACAAGTTCACAATTATCGTAAACTAATGCCTGTTGTGAGTTGTGTTGATTTTGTACCTCAAATATTTTTCGTTACTTATAATTCAACATCTATTTTGAATGTTAATACACAGTTTAAATTTATTATTTATCAATGAGATATTTTTTGTTCTAATTTTGCAGTGTTCTAGTGTGGGTTATTCTTACAGTTTAACAAGCGCTGTTGAGGTAACTAAAATATATGATGCGTCGTCGGTGTCTTATTTGGGGAATATATTTATTGTGGCTGTTTTGTATGAAAATGAACAGTATTTTTAAGCATTGTTTATAGAAATTGCCGACTTAAACTGTAACGAATATCATAGGAGACTGAGTAATTTAATATTTGCCTCTTAAATTCTTTTTAATGTAATGTTGGTCTTTGTACATAGAGGTGTACAGAACATCCTAGGAATTGAAATAAAAATATAATTTATTTTTGATGACATTAGTTTTATTGAGTATAAAACCAATAACCATTAATCAACAAGATCTATTCTCAAATTAACATGATATAAACTAAGCCGGTGGTAATCAAGGTGGATTAAAATTCTTAACTGAGAATTATCCAAAATATTAAAATTAAATATATATATATTTTTTACTGTTACATATCAGAACTTACCAAAGATAAATTGCAATAATAATATGGCACACTTTTTATCAATCATGCATTCATTAGCAATTAAAAACGAATTTGTCAACAAATTCTTTTTTGTTCATTTTCAACATAGCTTCTATGATCATAGGATCACAGTACGAAAGTCTTAACATGTAATTAAAAATTAAACAATATCAATTAACAACGTGTCAACGTGTCGTAGCAGACATAGATTTATAACGAAAGCAACTGAACATCAAACAAAATTAACTTAGAACAAAATTAATTTTTAAACCTTATCAAATTCCCGAATACCGAAATCCCGAAAATTACCAAATGTGCAATATTCCCGTCATAGTTCTTTGAATTAACATATTCAGTGGCTTTCTTTACTGATTACACTAATTAAATGATAAACATTAAAATATCACATGTTTTCGACATCTTACGATGATCACTGAAAACAATTTAAAACCCTAAAAGCTTTCTAACAACTTAACATATTATACATAGGTACCCGTCATTAATTACGTTTTGTACTTCTAAAACTTCCACTAAAATATAAAGTCGTCATACATTCATTCTTAATTTTGAACAATATGACAATTATATTTATTTGAAATAGTCGTCTTAAAAGTTGACAAATATGAATAATTATTACATAATTAAATCATCAGAACAATAACTGTTACTTGTTGTACTGTCATCGTGTTTATCGCCAGAACCAATTCGGAGCTTTTTGGGTAGAGGTTCAGCAGAGTTGAAACTATCACTTAACGCTCTTTTTCCAGTCGCAACTAAGCTTATTACGGTAACAGTTTCTGGATTTCCATTCTCATCATCGGTACTTTTTGATGACAATGTCAAGTGAGTCATGTCTTTTAATAATACTTTTTGTGAAAGAAGCTTCTCCACCCTCAAAATAACATCATGATCCTGAAAAAAAGAAATAACGGTATTGACGCGTAATCAAGGAATTTTCACTAAAACACACACACTATGATGATCTCTCTCTCTCTGTGCTTGACAGTGTATAAATAATAATGAAAAGTAGATTTGTACTTTACCTGCATCCAAATATGATTCAGTATTTGATTGAGTGTGATTCTTCTTTCAACTTGGACAGTGAGCATTCTCTTCATTAGCAATTTTGCCTGCAAACTAATTCCTTTCCAGTGAGTGTGTGAGAACCTATATCTCCCATTTACGATTTGATCCTTGAGAGACAAATCTTTGTAATCAGAAGAAAATGGTAGGTATCCTACAAGGCTGAAACAGGAATAAGTTTTGTTGAGTATGGAATACTTTTGTTTCTTTAGTATTATAGTGAGTACTTAAGTAATGCAGTAGCATATTCGTGTTTTCTTTATTTACCACCTTGGTAGTATAAAAAAAGCAGTACTAATAAATATTTCAGGGCATGGAACTATTCGTTCCATCTACGTTAATTCCTATCGCAACCTGCAAAACGGTCTCCCGCCGAAAGCAGGAATGTTACCAAGCATGGGCAAATGCAGCGACGGTGGGTGATCTAAATACCAGCACGCTAAAAAAAAAACAATATAACTTTGCGTCCAGGTCTCTCAAAAGTGACATTGCTAGGGCGAAATCAGAGCAGATCAGCCGGATTGGTGAGGGACTGGTGACACTTCCTTCTAGAACTCGTGCATTCTGGTCTCTTGCCAATGCTGTACAGGGGAATTTCGATATTTCAATCCCTTCCACCCCTGCAGATGGGAGATAATTCGATGGCCCATGATGCCAAGGACAAAGCCTATCTCCTAGATGAACTCTTTGAATGTGGTATCTCTTTCTGAAGATATGGTGTTTTGGGGACCCGGTCGCACGGGGTTATTATTAGTGGTTTGTATTTCACTCAAAAAAAAAAACAAAAATCAAACTATTTCATAAAAAAATTAAATTGTTTGAAATCGTTTTTTATGTAGACTCTAAACTCATAGATCAACACACACAAAAGTAACAATCTTTGTTTTGTCAAATAGTAAGCAAATAAAAATTTAACAAAAATTAAACATATAAAATTTATGACATGCCTGTGCCGATCTACAACCGTCCGTTTTCAAGGGGTTGAGCCTTAGAAAGGGCAAAGAAACTCATGGCCAGTCTTATGCAATTCACATATAGATACAATGGCATTATTAAATATACCACAACATTATTTTGATGTGTGCCAGTATATCCGTTATTAAGGACTAAAAGGTAAAAAGACAATCAAGAGAAAACAAGATAAAGAAAAAAAAAACAAATAAAAGAAAAAAATAAGTGAAACACACAAATAGAAAAAATAATAATAATAAAAAACACACTAGCCTACACCACATTTTTACTTAAGAAAGAAATAGCCTGCGCTAATTAATCCCAAGCATTTTTATCTTCCATCTAATCCACAATTGAGTAGTAGGCCCTCTGGCACACGCCACGTTTTATTGCAGATTAAAATTTGTTAATACTTAAGTCTTGAATATTAGTTCCTTACATATGAAATTGGCGTTTTGTACGGGTGGAATATAAAGTCAATTTTTTTTTGTAAAATATATTTAATTAATCAAAGTATGCACCGTTGTTATCTATGCACTTTTGCCATCTCATCTCATCTCATTGATCCCTTATCTAAAAAAAACCATGGGGGCGAGAATCAATAAACTCTTTGAAGGCGGTTTGGACTGCCGCATCGGAGTTGAATATTTTTCCTTGTAAGAAGTTGTCCAAATTCTAGCAAAAATGGTAATCTGTTGGAGCAAGGTCCGGGGAGTACGGTGGATGTCGCAAGCATTCCAATTGTAGCTCATCTAACTTAGTGGTTGTTTGTTGTGCAGTGTGTGGTCTTGCGTTGTCGTGAAACTGCACTGGCCTAGAGCGATTGACCAATCTCGGTTGTTTAGTTCTTCCTTCATGGTTTGCTGTTATCAGTTGCTGACAATAGATATCCGGCGTAATCGTTTGGCCAAATTTTAAAAAGCTGTAGTGAACGACACCGGCGCTAGTCCACCAAACACTCACAAGTAAATTTTTCGGAGTCAATTTTCGTTTAGGGCAGGATTTGGGTGGGTCTCAAGGGTTCAGCCATTGCGACGAGCGCTTCCGATTATCGTACAGTATCCACTTTTCATCACAAGTAATGATTCGATTTAAAATCCCTTCATTATTGTGTCGGTTGAGCAAAGTAACACAGCAATCGACGCGTGTTTGCTAGTTCGATTCACTCAATTCATGAGGTGCTCATCGTTCAAGTTTTTTTACTTTCCCGATTTGCTTCAAGTGGGTTGATACAGTTTTATCACTTACCCCGAAGCCTTTCCACAATAGCCTTTAATTCTTCATTTTCCACTTTGGTCTCCGGCCGTCCATTATAAAGTGCTCGAATTGCTCTCTTTTGCAGTACAAAAATAGTTTGAATGTCGGCAGCATTCCCCCACAGTAGAATACCGTAGAACATTATGCTATGAAAATAACTGAAGTAAACAAGTCGTGCTGTACCAACATCAGTCAACTCTCGAATTTTCCTTACTGCGTATGCTGCTGAGCTGAGTCTACTCGATAACTTATCAATATGTGGGCCCCACTGTAGCTTAGAATCTAGTGTTATACCTAAAAATGTCGTAGTGTCCACAAGGTCTAACCCGACATCCTTAATCATCACAGTAGTTTTCACTGGCTTGACGTATGGCATAGTAAAACGTAAACACTTAGTTTTTTGTTCAAAGCTTGGTGATTATTTATCATGGGATCTGCGGAACCACGCCCACTCACAAAATTCAATATTTAGATGCCATTTAGATTTAGAGGCTCAGGCTGACACAATATTTCATATTCACTTTCGCTGATGCACTCTCAAAATTAAAAAAGTTGGTAAAAGTGCTACTAGTTTGGTTAGGCTTAGAAAATTACGCAAGTGGTCTCTTAAGTAGTTAGAATTATATAATACCAATAAGCTTGTTAATGGTAGTTTCTTTGTTTTATATTTGTTCAATTTAGTGTTAAACTCACATAGATGTTTTTCTATTCTTAGTTTTATATAGTATTTATAAAACTAGAAATAGGCAACATAAACATTTTAATAGGCAACATAATTTAAAATGTTGTGCATTAATCTAATATAATGGATGCATGCTTTCGATTTTAGTAAATAATGTAACAACTACTGGCTGTCCAATAAATAAATAAATAAACAGAAAAAACTATAATATTTACCATACAAAAAAGATTACTCCAAGACTCCATACATCAACTTCAGGTCCATAACACCTTTGTCCATTGGCCGTAAGTACCTCTGGTGCTAAGTAAAGTGGTGTTCCACACATGGTCTTCATAAAGCTATCTTCACCAACAAATTTACTAAGGCCAAAATCAGTGATCTTAACAAGGCTGTCATCCCCCTTGCTCTCTAATAAAACATTCTCGGGCTGAAAATTGGTAACAATTATCTTAATCAAGCTATGAGAAATTGTTGAAATTTTGTAGTGTGTATGCTAATAGACATTATATCATATCATATTAACTCATATGATTTTTTGTTTCTCATTAGTAGAATATATATTTATACGAAATCTATGACTTTGCATGTATTTGTTAGAAGGGCAAAAGAGCAGACGGGTCACTTGATGGTAAGTAACTACTGCAGCCCATAAACACCTGTAACTCCAGAATCACAAGTGCACTTCCGTCCGTTGGGGCCTCTCCCCAGAATAAGGAGGAGAATTTTGGGCTCTGGTAACTTCACTTTTACAACGCTTTTTAAAACGCTTTCATATTATGATATGCAACAATTAAATAGTTAAAATATTTAATGTGTAATATATTTATTCTATTAACTGTTAATGAGATTTACTACTTCGGTACTGTTCTAATAGCTTATGTATATTACCTTAAGGTCTCTGTGAGTGATGCCTCTAGAGTGGAGATATTTAACGGCTAATACCATTTGTCTAAACAGAAATCTTGTAAAGTGTTCTGTCAAGTGCCCTTGTTTAGTTATCCTATCAAACAGTTCTCCTCCTTGCATCAGTTCTAGGACTATATAGACAGCTTCCTGAGAATCAAATACCTCCTCAGTGGATATTATACAGGGCTGCAAACATTAATAAAGTATGAATAGCTATAAATATATTTACAAAGAAAATGTATCTAAATTATGAGTATGTTAACCCACTGTACCCATTCAGGTTCTATGGGTAGACATAAATTCAGAAGCATTTCGTCTAGACGGCAATGTATATCATGTCCCACAATATATATATATTAGGTCTTTACCTATGAAATTGCCGTTTTGTATGCAATAAGTGAAAGTACTTATTTTTTCAAACTTTTTTATTTCTGTTATTCGAAGTAATCACCAATGCAATCGACGCATCTTTGCCAACGCATTGGCAGTTTATTGATGCCCTTCTTGTAAAAATCAGCTGGACGGGAGGCAACAAACTCTTCAAAGGCATTTTGTACTGCCTCTCGGGAATTGAATTTTTTACCTATTAAAAAGTTGTCTAAATTTTCGAAAAAGTAATAGTCGGTAGGTGCAAGGTCTGGTGAGTATGGCGGATGAGGGAGAGCTTCCAACCCCAGCTCTTGCAGCTTGGAGACTGTCTGTTGCGCAGTGTGGGGTCGCGCGTTGTCGTGAATGAGCAGTGGGGACGACCGATTGACCAAAGCTGGTTGCAGATGTGACCACTTAGATTACTTCGAATAACAGAAATAAAAAAGTTTGAAAAAATAAGTACTTTCACTTATTGCATACAAAACGGCAATTTCATAGGTAAAGACCTATTATATATATATATATATATATATTTTGTTTTTTTTTAAAAGACAACGCCCACATTAGGTATCTATCTTCAGGGGACTTTACAACACCAGGGACTTCCTTTCTAGGGTATACCTGTTTCCCAGGCTATTAGTACCCGAGATGGCGTGCGGTTTTAGTCGGTTCGAGTCCGACATGCCACCGACAGGTGGTATCCAAGGGGATTTCCGCACGGAAAAAAAAAGGGGACTTTACAAACATACATGAAACGGACACAAAGAACACCCAGACTCAGACAGACAGACAATTTGTGGATCACACAAAGTGTCATCCCATATTAGAAACATAAAAAAGAAAGGGGCACTTTAGAGTGGTCTGTTCAACTTAGCAAGGGTTTTCTTTGTGTATATTATAACTTAACCATTAAAAAAATTGTGTTCATAGAATTCTGCTCATATAAAGAACTATTTATTTTAATAGTGATAATAATATCATATCTACTGGTAGAATATGGTTGTCAACTGTTTTTCCAACCATAGTAACTAAACTTTAGACATTCACAGGTTATGCAGGCAGGCGCGGTCGCTGCCTGAAATTTTGGATGGGGTCACAAAAAAAAACCGATCAGGTACGAGTCAAACTCGTGCGCCGAGGGTTTCGTACCTACCCAGATTTTACGTAGATTCGTGATTAATTTTCAACTTTTTTGGAATTATTCCTTTATTTGTGCTGTAAGACGTTTCTTTTTGCCAAATTTCGTGATTCTAGGTCAACGGGAACTACCATATATGTTTTCCACCCAAAACCTATAGGGTACTTCCGGTTGATCTAGAATTGTCAATTTTGGTTAAAAGCAAGATCTTACAACACAAGTAAAGAGAAAATTTAGAAAAATCAAAAAAGTAAAATTTTGGTACTTAAGTTGCCGCGAAAATCGAAATTTTTGAATATCTTTTTATCGTGTTGACTCAGGACCTTGATTTTTATACACCTAATAGGGACCATAGACCTCAGTATCTGGTATTAATTTCAACTTGCTAGGTATACCCGTTCCTGAGAAAATCGGCGGTGACACAAGAACAGACAGACAAGAAAGTGATCTTTATAAGGGTTCCATTTTTACTTTTTGAGGTACGGAACCCTAAACATGTTGAGTAAATTAGAGTTATTGCACAATACACAATTTTATTGCACACATTATTAAACAAATAAAGGTCTTCTACATTTATGGGCAAATCGGGTGATAATTTTTCAGATGTCTGGGGCTATCTCTGGATGAATATTTAGATCTAAAATATAAAATATTCGGCATATTTTACCAAAAAGTAATACAGTGCGAAAATAAAATAAGCTTAACTAACTACCTACCTACTGTAGAGTACTGTACAGTTAGAGTAGGTAACGGGCGATAATACTGCTCAACTGATGGATGATGATGATGGTTTCATTTTTTGCTACTGATAATTGTTGCCACTTTAGGCAATAGCAAAAAATATGTCAAAAATATAAAATATAAGCAAGGTAGGTAAATCTCTAAAAAACATCAAGCTGTTTTTTTACCCCACCTTTCACCTTAAGTTAGGGTAGGTAGGGGTTTTGCTTTGGAATAGCAATATTAGTATGAGAACTATTAAGTGGTATAAAGAGTTTCTATGAGATTTATCAATGAATGTATTTTAATGATTTTAGTTGACAAATAATATGATGTACATAGTTTTTAATTTTCAATTAATGGAGCGCAGATCGCTTTTAGCCCTCACATTTTTAGATCTTTTCATAGAATAGATAAATAAAAAGATTCTTGGCCAAAACCTAAGCTACCCACCGGTTATTTAGAGTAATGTCAAATGAGTAACAAAATACTTACTTAAAACTTACACAGTTTCATCAAAATTTTTAAAACTATAATACGAAAATTTAAGCAGTAATGGTTTCAGTTAAGATTTATGTTTTACATTGAAATAAATGAACTTAAATTCCATGATCAAGTGGGAAATAGGCGATTCGCGAGATGTGATCTTACTTGTATCAACCTTCCTTAAAGATTCATACAACTTCATCCAAGTTATAAACAGCGCAATACCTAACCTACAAACTCACCCACAACAAAAGAGTCATATAAAAATAAGAAGTTACCCTAGATATTAAAATTACTTACCATTATTATCAAATTATCATTAATCAACGCTCTGATCATCAAATCAAATTAGTAATAATTATACACTTATATTTAATTTCCTTTCACAGTCACAACTACTCTCATAACATTCACAACCAAGGAAAAGCATGAAAATTCCTTTCTTTATTTTGTTAATGTTTAAGATTTTTTTTTCAATTTGGCGTGTACGATTTACGGTCATGTGCCCTGTGACCCCCCGTTCGGACCGTGCCTGCATGCAGGTCAACTGTTTCTACTTACATGTCTGACAGACTTCATAATATTGATTTCATTCATAATTTTTTGTGGGTCATTCAAATTATTCATTTGTCCATTTGTCAGTCTGCTCTTTTTAATTATTTTCATAGCATATTTGGTACATTTTAACTGAAATAAAGGTAAAACATTACTAAACACTGTTGAAATGTACAAAAACATATAATTTTGTTTAATTTTACCTTGTTATAAACTAGTTTTACAATGCCACAGGCACCTTGTCCTAATGTTCGAGAAATATAATACTTCTTGGAGATTGCCTTAGGTACTTTATCTTGTTCATTCTTCAATAAGTCTTTGAATATAAAAACTGAAAAATGTGATGTTAATCAACAAATATTACAGATTTAAAGATATATTAGATGTGAAAGCGGTAGCACCTCCACCATGGAGTAGAATATGTTTAGAAATCTAGTATAGTACCTACTATGTAAATATTATAAGAAGTTTTACCAATTAATTTTCACTGTATATCAGAATTGACCTGTGAAGTCAAGTAATATGGTAATTGTGAAGTACAAAATAAAAAGATTGAAATATGATATTTGGCCATTTTAATCAACATTCAGTGGTTAGAGTAGTTTTGATTATCTATGTAATTAACAAACAAAATCCCTCAGACAAATGATAGGTTTGTACAACTGAGGGGTTCTTAATGCTTCTTTATACCTGAAGAACGTACGGCTGGCTGATTTATGTAACATTAGCAATTAAACTTAAATTGACAATCAACAACAGAAGATTGATATTCTAAAATTTATAATTAAATGTAATTATATATAAACTGTATAGGTACTCAGTTATGTCTATTGGTTTTTAATATAAGTTAAATAATATAGTAATATTTATTAACTTATATAGAAAGCAGGAATATTTTGTTGTCTTCTAAGCAAAAAAAAAAAAAAGGGAATCTTAGTGTTCCAGCTTGATAATTTAGAAGCAATGAAAATTGTAAACAAATATAATGATGTAGTTACTAACTTTTAACAAGTTCGTGAGTGACAGATATAATGTCATTATCGTCGAGAACTTGCGAATTCCCCTTGCCTATTTTCTCTCCATTAATAAATGTGCCATTATATGACAAATCAGTTATAATCGTAGGACAAAGAGATTCGCTGCAAAATAACAAAAAATATTATGTACACACAATTATATGCTACAAGAGAATAAGTATCTGTAAGCTGAGAACTTACGACATGTCCCTTCTTATGATGAAGTGTTGTTTACTGACATTTCTTGTTATATTCTCTTTTATCACACTGTTTTTTGCAACAAAGTTACAGTTAAGAGCCCTTCCCAGGGTAAACTCGGGTTCTATGAGATCTACAGAAAAAAATCGAAGGTAGGCAGATTGTTGTTAGTAATATTTAGTTCTACTGTGACATGTAGGTATGTAATATTTGGAGTACTTACCATAGTATTCAGGGTTATTCTCCGTTTTCCAGCAATGTTTTCCAGTCTTAGCAGCTTTGGTGGAATATAATCTACCCCATATTGTAGGAATGTAAGATGGAGTGTTTTGTTGACTCCATTCGAGTTGAGAATTTTGGGTTTGAGTTTGAGTATTTTCACAATCAGGTAATTCCTCAGCCATAGTCTAAACTTACTTAGGTCATAAGTTACGAAGTTGAAAGAAGTTTAAAAGTTTCAATTTCAGCGCCCGCCGTCCAAGTTTAACATAAGTTTTTTTGACCATAGATAATTTTCTACATTGAGTGACTGACTACATTGTATTGGTTCTTTGGTTCTTTGGAGCCGGCGGTCGTTGAAGCGGTTTGACACTTGACACTTTTCGTCAAAGAGTTTTTGAAATAGAGGTGAGGCGTGAGGTTTATACAAAAGTCCTTTAGGAGACCATAGATAAACTTGAAGTTTAATTTAATTAGTAAACAACCAACCTTTATTAATTAAGTTCAATTAAATCTAACAATATAGAATATGTATAAACTACCTACTATACCTTCAACAACTATTGGTCGTTAATAAAATTGTGTATTTTATTTTACTGTTAAATTTTTCAGATTCTGTTTGCTTTTGGAAATAAATGAGAGCTTCGTTATCGTCATTGAAAAAACAGAATCTGCGGATGGAATGGAATCTACTTTATACTTACCTTCATAATATTATATATTATGTCTAGAAATTGTCTGTTCATATTTAAAATAAGACACTATCCAGCTAATTAGAGGCAGGCAAAAGCAAATCAATTAAAACGTGTTACAAATTTTTGTCGTCCTCTCCTTAGTATGAGCTCCAATGACCGTTACTTTAATTAGAAAAATGATTGTCATTTTTCTGTTATTTCATTAAGACTAACATCGCATATTTTAAGTGATTTTCCTGAGAGAATATTATTATACTTAAATATACTTAAATATTTCGACATCATTTATCAAAAGTCTTTGATAATCCACTGCTGGACATAGGCCTCTCATGGAAAGGAGGTTTTGGCCTACTATACCACACTGGCCAGACGGGTTGGTATAGGATTTGTTTCAAGTTTTCCTTCTCTTTGCAGAGCTGTTGTTCTGCAGAGTTTGCTCCCTTAGTCGGCTCTTACGACACCCTTGGGTTGAATAGGAAATAATTTATCATAATTAGTGATTATCTCATTTACATTCTTAGATCAAACAACAATAGTTGCTATTGTTTTTCTCTAAACTCGCTTTCAGTATCAGTTTGTCTCAGTCTCTGCATGTTCAATTGTCGTAGTTGGCGATAGACCAATTTTTCTGCTATTATTTTTGTTAGTGCATCTTTCATTGTATAATAGGTAAATTCAAGTAATAGTTAAATTAAAGTAGTTAGTTCAATTAATAAGTAGTTAGTTAAATTCGATAAATAAATAATACATTTGTATAAACAAGTTCTCATTGATTCTTCTTTTGTTTCCAAAAATCTGTGATTCCTATTAAGTAATTTATTTAAATATACATTTTTGTTGTTTTTATTTGTAAGGTAAGTTATTTGAACTGTTATTTCATACTTAGAATCTATTTCCGAACACCTGGAAATAGCTTCATTGTTACATTATTATAATGTTTACTTTATGTTATTTGTGCTGTTGGTATTCCGTACAAAAAAAAGAAAATTTAAAGTTTGTTTTGTGCTAGTCAGTTACCAGATGTTACTTATATATTATTCCGCTCGCTTCTGCTAGGCAAGAAGCAACTTGTTCGGTGTTGCCTAATGCGCCGCGGTGTACTGCTGTGTACTGCTGTGTAATTGAAATTCTCTTTATCTAAGTAGTAAAGCACTTAATATTTCATGGTCTTGTTGGAACGAAATCCCTTATCGCGAGTTACACGCTCTGAGCGGATGGGAGCGAGGCTGAAAAATGTGTAACAAGACTTTTTGCCGACATTATGGCAAACGTCTACCAAAAAGCAAAAGGAACCTCGTTCCGACCGGGGCTTCATAGAACTCTCACGCCGTTTTATTTTTTTCTAATGGATGGACAATTTTTCAATGGATGGAAGGATGTATGGATGGGTGACCGTTCTTAACACATTATGGCTATTCCATGCCCCGGAGAGCTCGTTTAGCCATCGATTTCAATTGTCATACGAACATTTAGGGTAATCCTTACGGGCAGAGACGGTTTAAGCATTAAGAGCGCTCTAGGCAAGCATATCATCGGCGCCCCCTGCGTCTCTCTAGCGTCCATACGATATTATAAATGTAAATATAGCTACTAAATGACGTTACTAAATATGTAATTATGATCACTCCAAATTTTAGTTGGCATTTCTTTACTACACCTTCTTTGTTTGATTTTGTTACATATGGAAACCCTCTTGGGCCGTCATCCCACCAGGGTTTACAGTGTATCGGAATCAAACCAACTGAAACCACATGGTGTGTAAACTGCGCCTGAAATAGGAGGGATCCGATTATAGTTTTTATTAAGTCCGGTCCTTTCTTTTGTTTTTGGCCTTACCCGTCATTCCCAGGCTGCGCTTATCCAGGATGAAGGTCTTTTAGCGACCTACGGCGTCTGACCCGCCTGCAGTACCTGGCCCGTTCTCAGGCCTGGCTGACCGGAGAGTTCTAGTTACTCGAGACCCAGCCGCCGGAGCCGACTCACTACTTGGGTAATCCTGCACTTCTCGCACGCCATCGCGAGCGTGTCGTCCGTGTAGCACGTGACAGCGACACCATCCACAAAGCTACTGTGAAGCATTCAGTCGTAGCCGATGTTCCACAATAGCGGCCTTAACACCGACCCCCGCGGAACACCACACGACATTTCAAGTCGAACGAGACCAGTTCTACTTACGTAGATTAATCCAGACCCCTTCTTACGCCTGCTCTTTAACAGCAAGGACACCACACTCGGGGAAAGACTTTCATTTGGGTGATGTCAGCACACGAGGACGTCACCTTCTCGGATTTGTGGCAGATGGAGGGGAAAACCCATTCACCTGAAACAACAGGGCGGCATGTGGCGCTGGAAGGCACACCTATATCAGCAGCAATTAAATCCACGTGGAGATCTGCCTCTCAAGCCCTCTCAGACTTCGGCGAGACGCGACGTCCACGCAGAAGGATGCGATCGCAGCAAAACATCTGTTGCTATCAGCCATGAAGCGAATAACGACTCGTAGCGAGAGATCCTCTCCGATGACTGCAATGAGCGCCCGAAGCTGCATGGACCAAGCGGAGCAAACGACCAGTGTGTGTTGAGCCGAGTTCTTGCAGTAGTGGCAGGCTCATCTCAATTCACTCCCAATGATCGACTCCTGGTACTTCCCCAGCAGACGTGCCGAAAAGGATCTGCGTCAGTCAGAAGGAAGGGGTCCCGCGCTGCCACCCTGCCCACTCCGTTTGGCTCCATGGCGCCTTATGTAGAATAAGCCGCCATCATTGCCGCCTCTAAATCCAAGGGGAGAGGTCCGCCACCACCCTCTGAGGGCAATAGAGGCGCGCCTTATTCTGAGCGGCCACAGCCTCCGCCCACATCGGTGCACCGTATAGTGTCATTGATTGGACAACTTTGGTCTATTACTACAACTTATAGAGTAATCTCAAATACAGCTGCAGCTGCAACAACATTTTTGTGTATTTGCACTAGCCTCAATCATCGAATGTATCAGAGAAATAAAGTAGTGGCAATAACGTAATAGCGTCATACTCAGAAAAAATGTACACTTGGCACTTTTTTTGTCCCACTACTTTAATAGCAGATTTAAAATTTGAATATTTTGGCACATATTTTTAATCATGTTTACATATATGTTTAGTCTTTAATAGGATCTTTTTTTTATAAATAATATAATATTTTCGTCAAATCATAGTATAAATGGCATTGGGATTTTTTTTATTAAATTTCTTTCATACAATTTTTTAATGTCCCAATAACGATTTTTCTTAATAAAAGAGTAATTGTTACGACTATTAGTCGACTTACATAAGATTGACTGTAGTCATTTAGGTCTCTTTTAGTCCATCATTTAAATGGCAATACAATTTATTGTTTAGAACTTTTAATAAAATTATTAAAATTCATATTAATGTTGTCCCAAAATTATTACAATTCGTTACTCAGTGTTAGTTACGTGGGTATAATTCTGAACGCAGTTGTTCAAAACTGACGGGAAATATTTTTCCTAATATTGACAACATTGCTGCTTTTTATAATTCACCGTACATACAGAGGTCATTTTGTTTTCATCCGCACACGGGAGTCATTGTGTTGAATTCGCATTTGGAAAAAAATACTGTCAGGGTGATAAACGATTTGAATTTCGATAAGCACATACTATTGATTGTACTATTTTATGCCCACGTCTTAGTTAATATAATATGTAGACAAATAAATTCAGTTATTGTGTATACAATAAGTGGTACTAACAGAATTATTTTTCGGGGTTATAATTTCTCAAAGTTTGTCTTCAGTTTAGTTATATTGCGTTATGTTACGAAACTGAGAAATTGTAAAGCTGAGTTTACGAAGTTACTCTAATTTGAAAAATTAATTAATATCTATTAAAATTTTATTACATTAATTTAGGGGAAGAGAAGTGTAATCGTGGTACAATGAAAATGACGGGCTTGATTCCCGAACGTAACAATATATTTCTGTTGAACTAAAAAAAATATGATTGACTTATTATTTTACTATTTGTGTGGGTACTTGGGCAGAGTAGTCAAGTATTTAAGATATTTTATATTTAATTAAAATTCTATATTTATTTATATTTTTATTTAATTATAATCAATAATATTATTATTTTATTAATTTGATTCTTCAGTTACCAAAATATTTAAATAATGGAGCAGTAGGTACGTAACGTTGATATCTTTTTGTTACAAATTTGTTTGTTATGGAGATTTTAGAATGATTTTCATTATGAAAGATTATATTATTTTTAAGAAACATTGTTATTACTATCTTGCTTATTTTTTTTTCAATTTGGTCTTAACGGTTCTTGACAAGTTGTTTTCTTTCTTTCGTTGTTCGAAATATGGAAGGGTCCGATTAAATTTTGACAATATTACTCCGATTATTTAATTGATTTTTTAGAAATGTGTATGATTGTTCTTAATTATTTTTATGTTATGTTATGTTTTGAACAATAATTTGTAATTTAA